CTACAACAACTACAACTACCAAAACAACTACAGCTACAACTATATGACTGCAACTACACTACACTAATTACATTACACCACAACTACAACTCCACTACGCTACAACTACAACTACAGTTGCAGTACATCACACTACATCCAGCAGTTGTGGGTGAGGTGACCACTGCAACCATTTTGCAACCACTCCAGCAAACACAACTCCAACCACCTTTCGGTCAATCAGTGGATTCGCTCTGCCATCCGTGATTCACAACAACCAACGTCTCCTATAGGTTTCCTATTCTGAAACTTCCGCCACCGCCTTGCGCGGTACTACTGGTAGAAAAAACTATGACCCTCCGGAAAAAAGACTAACGTAGCGAACTAGAAAATCCAGCCATGCAATTTTTTCTGGGTAAACCATCTATATATCAATGGGCCATGGCTTCCATGGCTATGTTCGTCATTACCAGAGGGTAGTTGGAATGGATTGGTTGTTGCCCCTTCAGCCAATCCCATGATCCATGGAATCTTTGAAGACCCAAATAGCTGGGACATTGCGTTTTGACGTGGCCCACCCCCAAATATGGAGGGAAAAAAAGCAGTAGACCGTGTTAAAGCCACTAAATTGTAAGTGACGTCACCAAAATGGTGATATTTATCATGGTTCTGAAAAAATGATCCCAGCTAAAACTGAGCCACACAAGGGAAATAAGCACCATGATCTCAGTTCGAATGTTGATTTCTGTTAGCAAAAATGTCAACAAACGAGGTTTCTTCACCATTTCGAAACGCACCAAAACCAGCATATCTACCCAATGATCATGGGCAATTGTGAACTGCTCCTACTTGGGTTCCAGGTTCTATGGCAGTTGATTTGATAAAAATCAGTTTTGTCACCAGACATCATGATAATCATAGCGGTGAATATGGATGGTAATTCATGTATATACACCAAATATAAATGATGATATACATGTGGATGAAATGAAAATGATGTAAATCATGTATATCATGAATTTAAATCATGATGTATATACACCAAATATAAACAGGTATATCACCTGCAAGAATCACGAATTGAATATAATCCTTGAATAGCATGCAATTAACTGGAAACTCACTTAACTTCAACAATTGTAAATTTCATATGCAACCACATTGAATCGGAAATTCAAAGTTGTCCACTGGAAATCCCAATGGAAAACAACAGCAAAAATTGTCTCATGCAATACCCGCCATCCAGCACCCCTGAAAATTAATTAATCATCCTGCGAAAGTTTACACGTTAGGAAACGCAATGAATATATTTAGTGTTTAACAATCCCTTCAAAGATGCAATTTCAAAACCTAGGAAAACAATCAGAATGGATAAAACAATTAGACAAAAACGATCAAAACACCTAAAGTTGAAACAACACCAGGAAAAATCCCTGAAAATCTTTTAAGATCCATTAAAACTTCATCAAATTCTGTAAAAAAACTCAAAAGAAACCAACAAAATCCCGCGAAATCTGCTTAAAAAACATCAAATCCCAAGAAAATCGGTTTTCAGAAACGCCATGAAACCCATGAAAATCCGCCATTTTTTTCTAACCCCAGCATCTTGGCTGCCTCCGTTCGCATGGGTGTGGTCAATCCCCGCTGCACCGGATACGGTGCTGGGGCCGGAGCATCAGGAGCTTCTGCTGCACGGACATAGGCCTAGTGGATCAGTGGATGTCATATGTCAAAATCCATATTAATATGATGACATACTGATGACATCCATATAATCAGTGGATTATACCATTTTTTACAGAGATGTGGGGAGAAATCCATTACTTGCAAATGATATTGCAAATATCACTATTGTATGATTATGAGTGTGAAAATACTTTTATTAATCCATTAATCATAGTAGAGTATATATGATTAGAGCAATATATAATTCATTTTTTGTGTGTTTGAAATAATGGGCATAACTTGGTCTTCGGCTGTGACCAGGCCACGTTCTTCAGCGCTCGCCCCAAGCGACCCGAGAAGGCCCGGGTGGCCACGGTATCCTCGGGACGGCTTCGGGCCAAGGCATCGGCCCAGGCCGTGGAAATGCCGGCCTCGGCCACGGCTTAGAGGTTTTCGTGGAGCTTGGGATATCCGATATAGAATCCTTGCTATTGTTTGCGATATCATATGTATACATATATATATACTATTATTGTAAAAATGGCAGTCGACTGTTGTATGAACTGTTGATGCCGGAGTTGTGCGCACTGTTGCCTTTTGCACTGTTGGGCAATGGCTCAAGGCCTGTAAGCCACATGTGAGACATGGTATGCATGTTGGGACCAATGTTACATTCTAACACGCCCCCTCGACATGTTGGCTATTGTTGCCTGCATGGCGAATCTAAGAATGTTGACACTGTACACTTTACATGCATCAGTTGTTGAAGAAAGATGTTGTCTATTGAGATAGTGTACATCTATCCATCGGAAACTAATGTTGTCAGCTGCACTCCATGTTGACGTCGCCATCATCTCTGTTGGTTTGGAGTGTTGACTCCAGGATGTTGCAGTTTCACCCTTTGTTGCTGAATTGTTCAGCCATCCCGTGCCTCCACGCTGTCCTCGATGTTGTGAGGCATGTCCTCATCATCTTCTCTGTTCTCTGGGTTGGAACTGTTGCGATACTGGTTGTACTTCGCAACGAACTGTTCCATGTTGGTGTTGGCTGTGATCCATTCGATCACTCTGGCGTTGCCCCTCAATCTCTCCATAGTCTTGTTGCCTCCCATGGAGATTTGATGGAGATGACGCCAATTCTGAGGTGTTGACAGCAATCCCCATAGGCGAACTGTCTCATCAGTGGACAGTTGTTGGAGCACTGTTGCCCCAGAGTATTCCAACGATTGGAGAAAACAGATGAAATGACCGTTGTTCTCAGCAGAGATCAACGATGTTGGAAACACGTAGTTGTAGGTCCACATGTAGTTGTTGGACCAAGACAGCTCTGTTGTCACCTGATGAAGGACAGTGTTGTCCCTTGACGAGGTGACTTCCCAGATCTGTGCTGATACCTGTTCATCAACTGTGAACCGCATGACGTTGCCTGCCTGGATCTGTAATTGAGGTCGAACGTAGCCACGGTTGAAGATGTCGACCGTATTGTTGCCCAGGCGTTGGAGTTGTTTCAGCTTGTTGACAATCACACATGTCAACATCCACGTGTGGTGATTTGCTGACTCCAAATGCAACTCTGTTGCATGATAGACACATGTTGTGACCGCGGCACCTGGGTCTGTTGACCAGATGGCTTTGTCAAACTCTGGCATGAGGATGTTGCCACTAATCCCCAAGAGTCGGTTCGTTGTTGGGCACAGCGCTGACTGATGGATCTCTGTTGGAAGGCAGATCCACCATGCTTCCAAACTGTTATTCTCCATCATCATGTTGAAGGCATCCGGGTTGAGGCCTTCAGGGTTGTTGGTCGCGCTCATCTGAATGGCCCTTGTTGTCAGGCCAATGCTGCCCAAGGTCACCTTGTGTGGGGACCTGTTCACAGGTGGAGTTGTCAACGCATTGTTGACCAGGGACATTGTTGCCGTAGGTTTCAACGATGTTGAAGCTCGAGGTCTTGTTGAACCAAACGGCTTTGATCAGTAAACTTGTTGTCAACGAAATGTTGACATTCAAACATCAGATGCAAAACATGTTGAATTCAAGAAAACTGTTGAAACACTGTACTCGAAAGTCGACATGTTGTCAAACGTGATCATGTTGCCAAATACGTCCACAATCATGTAGTACACATCATGTTGAAGAAGTATATGACATAGTTGATCATGTAGTGATACTTCATGTTACGAGGATGTAGGTGTAATAGAGGATGTTGCTGACCTTTGTCAGCACCATGGCTCTCTGGATCTGTATGTCTGTGTGTGCATGCCACGCACGATGTTCGCACGTTGTGCACGCGCTCGCACATGAACACGCATGCTGCAGTGAAACTGTTGTTGTTGCTTGTTGTTGTTTGCTCAGTGACGCTGGGTGCTGATGCCAACATCACTGATGTGACGCAAAAGCGTCTCTGTCGCGACGTACTTGGTGAAAATGTCGGCCGGGTTATTGGTCGTGTTGATCTTGACAATCCTCACAAGATCGTGTGCGACCAGTTGTTGTATGAAAAGGTGCTTGAGCTCGATATGTTTGGCTTTCTTTGATGCTCCAATCCTGGTTGCCATGCTCTTTCCGCTTGATGAGTCGGTGTGTATGCAGATGTTGATCTTCTTCATGTTGAGAGCTTCCTTCAGGAAATTGCTGATGTGGAGTGCTTCTGTTGCTCCTGTGTTGATTGCATAGAGTTCTGCTTCCGCGCTGCTCAGCGCTATTGTTGCCTGTGTTCTGCTTCCGTAGTGGATTGTTGCTCCAAAGACTTTGATCAGAAATCCTGTTGTTGACTTCCTCGTTGTTGCACATCCTGCCCAGTCGCTGTCGACAAAGACTTGGATGTCTGGTACTGCTTCAGCTGTTGGTGTCTTGGTTGTTGGTCTTATGTATTGTTTGTAGTGTTGTGTTCCCTTGATGTACCTGAGCAAGTGTTTCAGTTTCTGCTGGTCTGCTGTTGTTGGTTGTGTCAGAGCTCTTGCAAGCTCCTTTGTTGCAAAGCCAATGTCTGGCCTTGTGTAGGTCATCCATTGTAGCTTGCCAACCATTCTTCGGTAGGCTGCATGTTCTTCTTTGTTGAGTTCTTGTTCCATCTCTGATGTTGCTTTCAGGGTATTGTTGCCTGGTGCTGGTGCTGAGTTGCAGTTGAGCATGCTGGCTTCTTCCAGCAGCTGTGTTGTGTAGCTGTCTGCTAAGCTGATCTCGTAGTAGTCACCTTTGTTGCAGATGTTTCTACCCAGAAAGCTGATGGTGTTGCCGACTGTGAGTTCTCCTGTTGGACGGAGTAGAAGGTGTTGCTGAATGCTTTTGAACAGCTTGTGAACCGTCTCCTGTTGTCCAATGAAGAGCAGGTCGTCGACGTAGCATAGTATGTATGCATCTCCTCCAGGTGTTGCGTAAACGTTGGGCTCGCTGACAAGTCGTCGTAGTCCAAGTTGTTGCATCACCTCTGCTAGGTGATTTTGCCATGCTTTTGAGCTGCTGCGTAAGCCATAGATGGCTTTGTTGAGTCTCCAAACGATCTGGTCGAAGGCGTTGTAGAACTCTGCTGGTGGATACATGAAAAGATCTGCTGTTGCTGCTGCGGCATGTAGAAAGGCTGTTGAGATGTCTCCTGTGAGACAAATCCAGTTGTTGCAAAGTGCTAAGACAAGTAGCATCCTTAGCACGCAGAAGATTGGTGTTGATGCAAAGATGTCGTCGTTGTCGTTGATCTCCTCAGTGTAGCCCTTTGCTATAATTCGTGCTCGAACTGTGTTGCCTTTCTGTCGAAGAACCCATCTTGATTTGATGATCTTCTTGCGTTGTTCTGGTGTAAGTTGGCTTATGTGTACCTCTGTGTACACTCCTTGTTCCTTCATTGACTTGATTTCTTGCTTCATTCCTTCCGTTGCTTGTTCTTTTTCTAAACCTTCGGTGTTGCTCACCCAAGGTTCCAGGAGAATCTTTTCAGCTTGTATCTCCTGTTCATCTTCGTTGGAGGTTGCTTCTATCTTCTGTCCTTTCCTCGTTGTGACTGTGACTTGTGATATCCTCATCCTTGTTGTTGGTGGCTCCTGAGCTGTGTCAGGTCGGCTGGCTGCTGTGGCTCTTTCTGTTGTCCTTGCTTGCTTTGGTGAGCTGCCTTGTGTAATCTCATCTGTTACTTCTCTTTTGCTTTGTGTTGGCATTGGAAGTGCTTGCTTTGCTTGCTGTGTTGCTGGCGCTGTTGCCATTGGAAGGTCCGTAAGTGCTGGTGGTGGTGTAGCGTGTGGTTGTACCATGGCTTTTGGTTGTGGACTCTGCTGAGTCTGTGTGCTTGTTGTTGTCTGCTGCTTTGCTGCAGCAGGTTGTGGTAGTACCACAATGCTTGGTGTTGTTGGTGGTATCATGGCTGGCGAAGAGTTGATGATGTCCATCAACTGCTTGTTGCACTTGTCTGGCTTGATTTGTCTTCGAATGGTCCTTGCTTTGACCACTTTGTTGCTGATGCCAAGTATGTTCTCGTTTGTTGAGTTGTCCTTACCTAGCCAGATGGCTGGGTAGAACTTTGCTTCCATCTTTGGCATCTGCTTTGCTGTTGGTAGCATGTAGAGAACTGTTTCACCAAATTCACATATTGGTGTTTTGTGTTCTTTGCCCCATCGTCTATAGTAGCTTGTGTTTCCATCTGAGTGAATGGAATACCTGTTGAGCAGGTATGCTGCGTGTTTGACAAGCCACGGCATGATGGGATGCTTGCTGTTGAGCTTGATGCCATAGTTGGTCTCCAGTTGGAGTTTGAGGGCTCTAACTTGGCCAATCAGTGTTCTGTGGAAACGTTCAACGCTTCCTTGTGCTTGTGATGTGTAGGCTGGTGCTTGCCTGACTGCTATGTTGCTACCCATGGCTGTTGACACCATCTTGAGCAAGGAGATGATAAAGTCTTCCTGGTCTGATTGAAGAACGGTGTTGTTGAGAATTGCATGTGTTCTGCCACATTCCATCAGGAATTGTTGAAGGCAAACTGACAGGTATTGTACGTGCTGCGTCTTGTCCTCAAGTTGGACTGCCATACACATGCCTGTTTCAACGTCCACTGCTGTAAGGACTGATGTTGTTTGCTTTTCTCCTAATGCTTTGTAGTACATCAGATCCACTTGGATCACTGGTGTTTTGCTTGTTTGCCTTGGATGGTTGTCCTGTCTTCCTTTGCTTTGTACACATGTTGGACACCAGCTTCTGTAGGGAAGGTGTGTGAGCTCGTGTTCTCTTCTTTCTTGTTCTGTTGGTTGTTGTGGTGTTGGCACTCCTTTTGCTCTCTTGGCTTCTTGTTGCTCCTCTGGCTCATCTGTGATGAACTCATCTTTGTATGCTGCGTTTTCTTCAAAATTTGTTGAGCCTGTCCACTCTATGTCGAGTGTTGCTCTCCTCTTTGTCGTCCAGTCATCATCTATTCTATATCCTCTGTTGCCACTTGTTGGCTTCACAATTGTTTGTCTCCATGTTGTCAGTCTTGTCACGTCTGGTCCATCATCTGCTTGTTGTGGAATGTACATGTCCCTTCTTGGTTGAACATGCACACGTTTCCAATATGGACCTTCTTTGATCCAATAGTCCTGTGTTGGACTGACTTCCTTTGGATGTGGAATTGCTGTTTGATATGGCTGCGTTGCGGTCATTGCTTGGTCTGTTGGCCTTACCTCTGTGAGAGGCTTCTTCACGTTGTGTCGATACATTGGTGCTTGTGGTTGGTCGGCTGTGGTTTGTTGAGATGGTGTCGCTGGCTCTTTGGCTGGTGGAAGTGCTGGTTGTGGTGGTATGTTGCCTGCAAGTACTGTTCCACGTTTCACTTTGAACCATGTTTCTCCTGTCCAGTTGTTTCCTTGTATGATCCTCTTCTGTTGCTTCCTGTCGAGGTCCTGGTATGCTTCTTCGATGACCTCTGTGTTGTTGTTCGGTCTTTGTATGATTGTTCTTCTGTAGTTCTCCAACCTTTCTGTTGGAACTGGACATCTACTGTCTGGCATGAACAATGCCTTGCGGGTTGTCCTGTGGACTCTTACCAAGAAACCTTGGCTGTTGAATGTCCATAGGTCATTCTTGTTGCGAAGGATTTCCATGCCTGTTGGTGTCAGTGTGACTGGTGCTATTTTTGCTGTTGTTCCTTCTGCTGTCTGGCTGACTTCAAGCCTCAAGTTGGCTGGAAGTGTGATCAGCACAACTGGCAAGAAGTATAGGCCTTCTCGTTGTTTGAGTGCTGAGTTGAATCCCTTGGTGTGTGTGATTGTTGGTGTTTCGTTGAGTTGTGTGTTGAACCCTTGTTCTGCCAGTCTTGTTACTGACATGATGGGTTGCGTCACATCACACACATAGAAGGGAACAACTATTGTTTGCTTGTTGGTGTTGTGCATGTACACCCATTTGTAGCCATGCACTGGGATATCCTCATCTGTTGCTGTCCTCAGCCTAGGTCCTTGTCCAAGTTGTAGTGGATACAGTGGTGTGTCTGGTGCAAACCATGTTGGGCAAACGTGTGTTGCTGCTCCACTGTCGATCATGATGTCCACCTCGTTGTCTCCTCTCTGCTGCTGCACTGCTTGAGCTGTGGTGGTTGCTTCATTGTGGGCACTTGCTGCCTGATGGCCCAGTGCTCCCACAAGTTGTATTGTTGGTGTCTGCGTGTTGGTTTGTGGCGCTGGCAAAGCTAGTTGTTGTTGTTGTTGTTGGACTGGCTGGATATTGTAGTTGCCTGACTGGTCGTTGCTGTACCAGTAGTTGTCGTACCCACTGTTTGGGTCATACCATTGGGATGTTCCATCCTGGTTCTGTTCCTGCGGTGTCTCTGTCATGTTGTACACCGCTGTTCGGCAATCCTTTGCCAAGTGGCCCTGTTGACCACATCTGTAGCATATTGCTGTTGGATTCTTTCCTTTTCCTTTGTTGGGAATTCCTTTCGACTTTCCTTTGTTGCCTTTCTCTACTCCTTTTGGCTGATACCATTGCTGTTGTTTTCCTTTGCCTTTTCCTTTGTTATAACTGCCATAGCCGCCGTAGCCCTTTCCTTGTTGGTATCCTCTTCCTTTGTGACCTCCTTTGTTGAATCCTTTTCCTTTGTTCTTTCCTTTTCCTTTGCCTTTGTATGTTGCTCCAATGTCCATTGGAGCTGGGCCTCCTCCTAGATTGCTGCTGACTGCTGAAGACGACTGTTGTTGAAGTCTTGAGAACGCCGTGGTGGTCCTGTAGTACTCCATGATTGTTGTCCTCACCTCAGCATATGTTGGTGTTGCACTGGCATTGAGGTGTAAGTGTTGTTGGAGTGGTCCTGTTGTCTCATTCATGAGAACTGCTATCTTCACTTGGTCTGGTAGTTGTGCATTGTTGTCACGCTCGTAACGTGCAAGCTCAAATTCCCATGTTGAGAAGGACTCCTCAAAGTTGTTGGTGTCGAACTTGGGTTTGAGTAGTTTTGTGAGGTAGCCTATGCTTCTTGTTCCAACAGGTATTGCAAACCTGTTGCAAAGTTGCCTGTAGACTTCCAAGCCCATTGCGTCTTGGTATTGTCTGCATATTGTTGCTGCTGGGCCGCTGGTGATGTTGATGAGGATGTACTTGAGGTTGTTACACAGTTGTGTCCACTTCTCTCCTTCCTCTATTGTCGTTGCCGCACCAAGCAGCTCTGCATCTGTGAGCACTGTTGCTGCTCGTTCTGCTCTTGATAGCAGTTGTGGAAAGATGTTGTCTTGTAGGCCCATGTACGCTGAGAACTTGTACTTCCATTCCTCAAATGTTGCATAGTTTCCATCGTATGTTGGAGGTTTCAACTTCAGCCTGTGTGTTGATGCTAGGGCTTCTGCTTGTGCTTCTCCTGCTGTTGGCGATCCTATCTCATATGCCGTTGCCATACTTGTTGTTGAGAGTCCCCCACACTGTGTAGTTGGGATCAAGCCCTCTTCCTGTGCGCTTTGTTGTTGTGTTCGTTTCCTTTCCTTGTCGCTGCAGTGGTGGTGTGTTGGGCTGCTACCCTTCGTTGCTCCAGCTGTTGTTGAGAGTCCCCCAGTGTTCTGGGATCAAGCCCTCTGCCTGTTGGAGCTCACCTGGATGCTTCCAGGATCACTGCTCCGCTACCATGTAAAAATGGCAGTCGACTGTTGTATGAACTGTTGATGCCGGAGTTGTGCGCACTGTTGCCTTTTGCACTGTTGGGCAATGGCTCAAGGCCTGTAAGCCACATGTGAGACATGGTATGCATGTTGGGACCAATGTTACATTCTAACAATTATTATTATGTGTTATATATATATATACTATATACATATGTGTATATATATATACGGCCAGGCCCCTTGTGTTGCCCGGAGATTTACAGGGACGTTCCCGGCATGTTGATGATGATGATGATGATGATTGAAGATCTTCAATGAATGTAAGAGGTTAACGGAGTTGGGAGAATTAAACCCTTATTGAAGATCTTCAATGAATGTAAGAGTTTAACGGGGGTGGGAGAATTAAACCCTTATTGAAGATCTTCAATGAATGTAGAAGTTTAACGGGGGTGGGAGAATTAAATCCTTTTTGAAGATCTTCAATGAATGTAAGAGTTTAACGGGGGTGGGAGAATTAAACCCTTATTGAAGATCTTCAATGAATGTAGAAGTTTAATGGGGGTGGGAGAATTAAACCCTTATTTAAGATCTTCAGTGAGTGTAGAAGTTTAACGGGGGTGGGAGAATTAAACCCTTATTGAAGATCTTCAATGAATGTAAGAGTTTAACGGGGGTGGGAGAATTAAACCCTTATTGAAGATCTTCAATGAATGTAGAAGTTTAATGGGGGTGGGAGAATTAAACCCTTATTTAAGATCTTCAGTGAATGTAAGAGTTTAACGGGGGTGGGAGAATTAAACCCTTATTGAAGATCTTCAATGAATGTAGAAGTTTAACGGGGGTGGGAGAATTAAACCCTTATTGGAGAATCTTCAATGAATGTAGAAGTTCAATGGGGGTGGGAGAATTTATATGAGATGTATAGTGTGAACAAAAAATCCTTGTAATTTACGCTATTCTGGGCTTGGGCAACACAAGGGGCCTGTGGGCATATATATATATATTATTCTGTATTATATATATATATATTCTCATCATAGTCGGTTCTCCTCACAACGTTCACATCATGATTTTGGGGTTCCCATCTACAAAGTGAGGCACCCCGTGTTTACGATAGCTGAGATGATGCACACTTCGCTTGGTGAATTCTATGGTTGGCTGCCCTTTGGGGCTGCTGAGACTTTCTATTTCTATGTTGTTGGGGCTATATATATATATACATATATATATATATGTACATACATAACATTATATATATATATAACATTATATATATAACATGATATAACCTCAGTTGTAGGGTTTATAATCCCAACTTAAGGTGACTTTACCATGGCTTTTTTGGGCTATACCCTTTGTTTTTTCCTCAAGGGCACCCTCGAGTTGAGTTGTTGATCCGGAGTATACCATTGATGTTCAATATGGATATACCCTTGATGGATCATTCATGCTCATTTATGATGGATATACTTATCTGGTTGGTGGTTTGAACCCCTCTGAAAAATATTAGTCAGTTGGGATGATTATTCCCAATATATGGAAAAATAAAATTCATGTTCCAAACCACCAACCAGTATACTTATGTATTGCAGTAACAGGCTTCGACTGGAAAATGCAAAAATAATAAAATTACAAAAACAAAAATGAAAAAAAGTAACCGAGGCAGAAAAAAATGACAAAAAATACATTTATCTGGGTAAATTATAATATTTCACTAAACTGAATTGTTCGGCCATTTGGGGATGATTTCCCTTATTAACATGTATTAACCATGATTCCAGGGCTCTTACCCAGATTTATGATGGATATACCCTTCATAAACGAAACTATGGCATTGATGTGCGATCAAATTTAGAGTCATGTTTATTCGTTTATGTCTGTCTATAGGTGTACATGTGTATGTACCTATCCATCTCTATGTCAAACACCAGTTGCCGTCTGACAACACCAGTTAGCCTTGCAACCCCAATTTTGTAACTTCATAAATAATTTGGGGATCTATTGTGAGACTCCAAAATGCCTGTCCATCGCGAAGAAGCCAGTGTGGAAACAATACACTATGGGGGCCACACACAGTGGTACAAAGTGGCAATGTGTCAAATCCCCCAATTTTCGGCAAATAACCAATCCAAATCATTCCAAATCCATCTCAGATTTGGAAAATCCCTCAGTTTCCTTGGGGTTCATCATGTTTCATCATGTTTCATCATGGTTCATCCTCTTCCCCCATTTTTCTCCCTGAAATCGGCCCCCCGTGGTTTCCCACGTGGGATTTCCCGGCCCCCCCGGGCGAACCTCGGGGCAGCGCAGCAGGCCGGTGCCGATCTGCACCGCCGAGGCGCCCAGCAGCAGCGCCGCGGCCGTCTGCCGCGCGTCGCACAAACCGCCCGTGGCGATCACCGGGATCTGCACGGCGTCCACGATCTGCGGCAGCAGTGCCTCGGACAACGGGACGAATGGCAGAATGGGATGGGAGAATCAGATGTAGAGGTTTTCTGAGAAGAAAAGGGTTGGTTGGGATGTTTTTTGGGAGATAATGATATAATCCATGAATGATAGTCTTACCTTTTAGTGGGGCCCTGGGGGCCCCAGGTTGGTTGCTGGTACTGTGGATGTTTTCGATGCTAGTAAAGCAATAGGATCCACCACCCCCAATTTTGATGGATGAAACCACTCAGGAAGTGGATGGTATCCATAGTAAGCCCCCCGACATGCAACAACCACAAGTTGCGGGTTTGGAAACCAGTTTTTTCCCATCACGAACAACTTACTGCTGCTTAGTAGGGAATGGGGTTAATGATCTGTAACAACTATAACCATCATCCCATTCCCCCATTCCCCCATCGAAGCGCAGTAAGACAAGCCAAGATGCACATCCGAACACAACACTGATCTGGTGATGATATACTGATGATAGGAACATATGAGACGATAAAGCAAGGAATTATATGGGTATGGATCAATACCTATTAATACCATTTTAATGGGATGAACATCCATTTACCAGCTATTTTGATGTTCACCAGGGGTACAAGGTATATATATATATACATATCATCTTACCTTCTTGGTGCTCCAGTCAGAAAATTTTTGGTGTATCGACCATGGATACTGTGCCGGTCATGACCAAGATGGAAATCTCATGAAATCTCAACGCTTGATGGTTTTAGTAGCCTTCCCCCGACGGGACAGGAGTTGGGTTTTCGGAGGTCATCACCGTATTTTCGCCCCAATCAGCTGCGGAAACCAAAAAATGTGCAACATGAAAACCCCGAAAAAAAACACCTTCAAGAATCCCACAAATCCAATAAAAACCATAGAACTACATCCCCACCCCATCCCCAACCCCATCCCATCCATCGCAGCCCAGGTTCCACCAGGCCCACCAGGTCCACCTTGGCGTCTTCGGCCCGGAAGGCGCCGCGGTGTCCGCCCGCCTCCACGCCCTGCGCCACGATGGCGTCGGCGCCGGCCGCTTCCGCGGCCACGGCCTCGGCCACGGTGGTGGCCACGGCGAACCACCTGGCGCCACGGCGAAAGTCGTGGAAATCGACGGGAAAACCATGGAAACCATGGAAAAACCATGGAAATTTACGGGTTTTGTGGCTGTTGAGCTGGAAAAATGTGGAAGCATATCCCAAAAAATGCCAAGAATCGTCAATTTCCGACAGAAGGGAAATACATAAAAAGACATTTTGAGGCTTCAGATGTTGGCCGTTCGAAGGTAAACGTAACCTAAAATCATGGGTTACAATAGAAACTGTTGATGACTTTCGGAAACCCTGCTGAACGACAAGCCGCGACCATCTCCCTAAGGGGTCCAAGTTCTGGGGAATCCCCGGATCCTATCGGATGCTTGGATGATTTGGGTACTGAGTAGCCATGACTTCCGCTTCAACCGGTGAAAAAGCCTCAATTCATGGCCTGATCTTCTGCTCCTTCATCCTCTTCACCAGATGCGGCGGATAAACGCCCATGATGGACGAAATCACTTCCGGTTTCGCGTCGATCATGGCAGTCACTTGTGCCTCGAAATCCACCAGCTTGGCGTCCTCGGTGCCCAACCATGACAGGGGGGGTCATTTTAAATCATCCCAGTCATAGAGGTATACCCTCTGGTAAATTAACATAACTATGGAAAATCACCATTTTTAATGGGAAAACTCACTATAAATGGCCATTTTCAATAGCTATGTTAAATTACCAGAGGGTACCCAATTTCATAAACCTCTATGTAAATCTCTGTTATTTGCTGTTGTAATTCTTGTAAATTGTATAGTGTTATTACTCTCAGTAGAATGTATATGTAAAATCATGTAATTTCAATCTAAGCTAGGGGGAATTACTAGCCTGTGTAAAGCAGAAAAGGAAGGGGCTGTGATACACTGCTTCCTGTTCAGATGACTTAAAGATATTGACCCGTGTTTACCCATGGAATGTTCCAGATCTACACTCCATTCCGAAAATCTCATGAAATCATGCCCAAAAAGCCATCATTTTTCTCCTGGGGAAACGGTTGTTGTCACACCAGGTCTCCGCTGCCCACGCTGGGACTTCGGGTCCGAAGTGCCCCAGAAAGTCCCGCAGCCGTTGCTCGTTCTCTGGGTCGCGTTGCGGGGGTGCAGGCTCTGGGATCCAGGTATTCAATTGCAAGGGACCAGCAGAACGTTCCCGGAACGAAGCACCTGGGATCAGATAACTTGCTTGGGATGATAGAACTGATTTATATCATGAGAATATATGGGATTAACATGATTGAATATATAAATGGGATTGATATTTATAGAACTGATATTATTTCAACCCATTGGTTGAGATTATAGAACTGGTTGATATAATGAGAACATATGGGATTCATACTTATTACTGGTTTATCATATGGATATGTCATAATAATGGATTGTTGACAAGGAATAATGCTATCAAAGATGGATACCCTGCGGTAAACGTTTACATAGATGCGGAAAACCCACAGCTTCCCTAGGGATATAATCTATAAATGATGGGTTTTCCACATGTATGTTAGTTTACCTGAGGGTAAACATAGTGGGATATGGGAATACAATGTGGATATGTCATAAGATGATGATGGGAAAACCAACTATACTATATCATATCATACTGAGGTTTCAATAGAGCGTTCCAAACATGAGGGTATTCTATGACTCGTCCCTTCAGTTCTGGGAGATCAAAATCAGTCTGTTTTGCCATTTCACATCCTCTTTTTCAAAAGAGTTTCGAAGTTGAAGATACAAGGTACTGTAGGTATAGATGTAGATAGAGAGATAGATATGAATTTAGATATAGGCATGTACATATGCTATATATATATATACAATACATAGCTACATACATAAATATGTGTATATATATATACACTGTATACACACAATATGTCTTGTACCTGTACACATAATATATATAGATAGATATATAAATTATGTGTATGGGTTTGTCCAAAAATAGGCGACCTCACCCAGTCCCCTAGTCCGAGTTGCTCCAATTCCGAATCTCAGTTGGTGACATTCCCAAGACGCCACAGGCACCCATTCCACCTGCGACATGGTCCAGGTGGACTTGAACAACAACTAAGAAGACTAAATGGATATGTCTATAGATATATATATATATATTAGTCTACATGGTTATATATGTCTTATCTATAGATAATATGGATATGTACATGGATATGTATATATTATATATATATGTAGATATATGTAGATATATGTAGATATTTATAGATATATAGAAGCAACTACTTGTAGGTTGAAAACCAAGAAATGGGACTCAAAAAATGAAACACCTTTCACCTTCACAAACGCACAAAAGTTTGACTTTGGGATATTATGAAAACCCAGTAAATTGGTAATCTGGTAATCATTCATGAGCTATGCCACCATGGCCAATCTTAGTTAGATAGCCTGCACAAGAGTTGGCCCTTTCTGGTTTTCTTACATTGAAGCAGCAGCTGGTGAATGGTTTGGTTAGTCCATCTTTTTCCCTCTCTGGTTAGGTAAAGATTCATTTGAAAACAGTAAAACTATATTTACCAACCATTATTCACAGCAACCATCAATTTTCACCTCATTTTAAGTGTGTTCATTATGTCTCCATATCTCAAGATCTTGAGTTTGTTCGCAAAAAAAAAACGTTCACATTATCTTCAGATCTTAAGTTGGTGAATTAGTTTTTGTGGGTAAAACAATGTCATAAACCACCCATTTGGGAATGGGAAAAAAACATATAAACATGGTGATTTATTTGGGGGATGGTAAACATGGCATTGTTTTAGGAGGCGTGCTGATAAATAACCTGGTAGTTTTGGGCGTTTTTTGGGTATTTTAGTCGTGGGTGGGGTGGGTATTTTTGGTGTTGTGTTGGGGTGGGGTGGGGTGGGATGATAACGTCGTGTTACGTTGACGTCATGTCCTGGTGCTACCAACTTGGCTAGGTCATGCTACGTCTTGGGTGGGGTTGGGGTGGGTGGATAACGTCGTGTTACGTTGTCGTCATGTCCTGTGGCTACCAATGCTAGGTTGCTACGTATGGGGGTGGGGTGGGGTGGGTGATTCGGTTACGTTGCCGTCATGTCCTGGTGCTACCAACTTGGCTAGGTCATGCTACGTCTTGGGTTGGGGTGGGGTGGGGTGGGGTGGGGTGGGATGATAACGTCGTGTTACGTTGACGTCATGTCCTGGTGCTACCAACTTGGTTAGGTCATGCTACGTCTTGGGTGGGGTGGGGTGGAATGGGGTGGGGTGGGATGATAAGGAGCACATATATGAAGCCTTGCCAGAGATTGTGTTGTTATCTTCCATACTTACCATATGCCACTAACAGCATGTATGTTGTACGCTGCGACTTTTTCGATTTCTTCTCAACATAGTGACCATATGTATCTTGAAACGAATATATTCGACGCCCTACCTTGTTTCGTATGTATCGTACCGTTACACCGATATACATCGTACACGCATCCGCCCCGTCTCTCAGGTATGGTCACCCAGATTGCCCTGCGGATTCCGGGGACTTGTCGAATGCTAGTTTGTTTTTACGGTTCTAGTTGTAGTTGGGGACTTACGTCTATGAGTTGTATGTATATATGGGCATAACTATGTATGGAACTCACCTAATTTTACCTTCCAAACTGTTTTTTCTATATAGTATATGTCTAGAAGTGATCTTTGCATCATATGATCTTCAGTGCAAGTTCAGTGTGTTGCAGCAGTGGTTCAAATGGAAGAAACCTTGCAAGCACTTGTGCTGCTGATTGTCCTGCGATTGACTGGAAGCAGCTTACCGCCGCTGTTGGGCCAATGGCTTCAGTTCCATGATAACTATTTAGATGACTTGCATGAGATTTTGACGGCTCCGTCGTCGCTTTGTGATGTTTCAGTTAGCTATGACCCTGGTCTGCATGCAGTGCAAGAATCGCTCCTCCGGCTTCACGATTTCCATACCTTATGTCGTTGTTTGCCACTTTTGCAAGATCAGTGGCGTCGGTATCTGCGTGGTAGGCGGACTTCAGACTTGGTCGTAGAAAGGAAATTGAAATGCCTGGTTGCTCGAGAAGGCAACTCATGTTCTGCTGATGCGACGCATGCAATTGCTGTGCAACAGTGGTAGCTCGATTTTCCAACTTGTTCTGTTCCAATGTATTTTCTTTTCCTCCTCGTAGATTTTGGTTCTGCTTTGACATGACATGCTGTGCATCTGAGGCATGAATTCTCGGCAGAAATGTACGACGCCGAAGCTCACAGTGTCTTTTTGACGCGTGACCAACGTGCTGACGTGATATCTTCTGACGAGGAGGTGGTCACAGAGATACCGCGGGCAAGACCAGATGTCATGCCCGCTGAGGATGGTTCGGATGTTTCTGTCAACGGGGAGTGTGGAGCGCATGTCATGGAGACTGAGTCGCTGGCGTCTGCAGCGGAGGTCTACTCCGAGGAAGAGCCTTTGTCAGACATCAACGGTTCAGAGTCACCGCCTCACTTGGTGGCCAAGATGGATCTCTATCCGACTTCTGTGGTCGAATTGCAGATGTTTCGAGACCTATATCGGCAGGAGTCTTGTCTTTGTTTGATTTCTTTCATTGCCACATTGTCTTCTTTTCTACGTTTTCCCGTTCTTTCATTCTATCGGGGTCAACCGTCTGCGAAGTAGATTGTGTCAGATTTTGAGGACCTGCAAGATCGTTTAGCTGGATGCGATGATGGCTTGAGTGCTGATATCCCCATGTGGGCTCTACTGCTTCTCGACCGAGAAGAAGAGTTTGTGAATTTGCGACAGATGTGCAGACATGGATCTGAGACTTTTTGGCCGGCCCAAAACGAACATTCCGCTGCGTCGTCTTCTTCTGTTCCCGCTGTGCGGTCCGTGCCTTCTTCAGACGTTGCTGGAAATCAGGAAGAGTCTCGCAGAAGTGGCAGGCCATTAGGTCCGTTTAGATTTTTGACCCTGAAAACTCGTCCTTCGAAATACGGCATGTGCACCTCCTGTGGAACGCCAAGAAAATTGCATCTAATCAAAACAGGTCGACATGCTGGAGAGATTTGGCTACGCTGCAGCAATTTTTGGCTGCGAAATCGGGACAGCAAACCCCTTTGCTGGCACGGGAAAAAATTTTTGGGTCAGCCACCGCCAAGTTTGATCAGGCAGCAAAAGGAAATGAAAAAAACTTTGAAATTTCAATTGCAGCACGGTCCACAAACACGTGCTTAACCTTCTGACTTCCACTCTTTTGCGTTGCAAAAGAAACGCATTCCAGACTTGCTGCCTCAGCCATGACGATTGCTCAGAACGTGATTTATCATGTATATATTTGTCTTAAACGAATATAAGTCAATAAAGAAAAAATATTATATATATATATATATCTTTAATATATGTCTATATGTACAAAAGAGAAAAGTAATATAATGTTTGATGTGTCTGTGTGAAACCATCTATAGATACGTTCCAAGATATATATATATATATATACACATGCTGTCAAGACTTGAAACGGACGTAAGTCCTGAGTCGCACTCGAATAAATAGATCAAATGATCAATGGCAGTGATGAGTTTGTAACATTGCGTGAGATGTGCAGAGGTGCCGACTCAGATCGATCATCCACCAAGTCTTTGGCTCAGAACACTTTTTTCCCCCATTTTCGTCTGTGGCACAGTGCCACAAGTGATCTCCATATGTTTTCAATGTAGACATGCCATGCCAGAGAATGCCTGCGGAAGTCCGTGTGTATGACTAAATTCAACAGAAAGCAAACGGTGCGTCATCAGCCGGCACACAAATGCTCTTGCTGTAAGAAAGTTGGGCACAATATCAAGCAATGTCCGAATCCAGCTGCCAAAGAGCTGATTCACTTGAGAGCTGCCGTGAAAGGCTTTCTTGATGGAGCTCCCCAGAAGCGCTTCAAAGGACGTTTGCCAGTGAAAAAAACGGCCAAGTCTGGACATTACCGGAAAGAAGCAAAGAAGGCGTATGGCACCGTCAAGAACACAGGTGGAAGGAGAACTCCACATCATCTTGCCTCAAGTTCTGTTGTGGATGCTCATTCCGCACAAGTTGCTACAGCTCTTGACGAGTTGCTTTCCTTTGGTTTTATCCGTGGATTTGAAAAAGGTTGCTTTGCTTGTGGTGCGGCTCTTGGTGAAGCAGAACCTTTCAAAGCATCAGGGAAATTGTATTTCAGGTGCACTTCTTGGAAATGCCAAAAAAGACACAATGTCACTGACTTTTCGTTGTTTCGCGGCACACGCTTGAGCCTCTTTGACTTGTGTAGAGTGATTACCTTTTACAGCAGATCACGCTTGATGGAAGCTCCCCGTGTAGCAGATGCCCAATCTCAACTGAAGCTCGCCAGATGTGCAGTGGAGCACATATATGAAGCTTTGCAAGCTGCGGAAGCAAGGGCGGGAGAACAACTCTGTCGGACACAAAATGCAACAAGACGCCTGGTGGGAGACATCGAAGCAGACGCGCATGGTCTTCGCAAACTGTACGTCGGCCAAAACAACCCTCACTTTCAAACAGAAGTTGCTGCTGCTGCTACCCGCTTCCAAAAAGCAAAGCCGTTCAAGCCGGTGCCCAAGTATTGGCAAGCACATTTCCGAGTACTTGGTTTGAAAGCCAGAAGTTACATGGGGCCGGTTGCAAAACGAGGTGGCAACATTGTTTTGAAGGTTTTACCATTCAAGCTAGTGCCTCCAGGTGCAAGTCCACCTGTGGAATCCAAGTCTGAAATTGTTCAATCCAAGATCATGACCTTTTTAGGCGATTCCAAAAAAATCCGTCTCTATAGTGATGGAGCCAAAGCGTGGGAGAGCCTGTGCAAAGAGAAAAGGATCAAAAATTTTCCAGTTACGCATCGAAAACAACAGTTCACTCGAAAGTTGAAAACTTGGAAGAAACCTGGAGCCACCATTGCTGGAACTCAAGCAGTGGACAGATGGTGGCAATCGCTTGACCGTTTCATTCCTTCCTCTTTGAACAACAAAGACTGGTCCAAAGGTGGTTTGAATCAAAAATTGATTTTGTATATGCATGCCTTTGTTTG